GGCCCCTCGGCGGCATTTGGTCACCTTCCGACGAGTTGGTGGAGGAGGGCTCGCTGCCCTGTGTTCGGCCCTGGCCACGGGCGCTTGTGCGCGGCGTTGTAACCTCCACTGTCGATCCTCTCTCATTGCTCTTCCTAGACCCGGCGGTACTTCGGGTTGCCCTTCGCGAACGCACACATGTTGGCTCCTTCGAGAGGTCTGCACTTTTTGCCGTCGGGTGTCCCTTGGCTACTAGGGGCAGGTGGTCTCCCGAGCTCCCGGCCTCAGCTGCTTTTCCGACGCTTCCCGCTGGAACAGACGCCTCCACAGGCGGAGACGCAGGCCCAGCAGGCTGGGCTGACGACCTTTCTCCCACTCCGGGCTGACCTCCCTTCGTCAAGGGTGCAGTCGAGACACGACCTAGGGGGCTCCGCCCTCGAGGGGCTTTCCCTATGCGGTCGGCCGGGGGTTCCTGAGCTTGGACGGCCCCTAGGGGTTCATTGCTAGTCGCAGACCGCGACGAGCGGCGGTAATCCCCTCCTACGCCGTTGGCTGTTGGCGATTCTTCATTCTTAGTTTCTTCCACTGGTAACGCGGCGAAAAAGTTGGTATATTGATCATACGGAGTCCCTACATACGTAGTATAAGTCCGGCTAGAATTACATGATTGCGCACCAATAGAAACTAAGTCCTTGGCCGACGTCGTCGAATCGCTTACTTCGACGCCGGCTGCTCTTTTGACGACTTCTCGTCCTTCTTCTTTTCTTCCTTCGCCTCCTCGATCTTCGTAGTGGGGGCGAGTTCCTCGTGTTCGGCTTCAGCGAGTAATTGGCGGAGGCGGGCGACGTTGGGCTTTTTGCGAGGTGGGAGTTTGACGGGAAGCCACTTGGACTTGTCGTCAGGGCACTTATGCTTTGGGCTCCACCCCGTGTTTCCGCACTTGAAGCATCTCTTGTCGGACCGCAGCTTATCGATTTCCATCGGCTGCCCGGCCCCTCCATAAGTGGTTCCCGTGGCATCTTTCTTATCGCCACCTGACCCCTGTCCGCCCTTCTGTTGATTGCCTCGACCCGAACCGCCCTGGTTCGAGGAGGTCTTACTGCCTAATCCTTGGGCTACTCCGTATCGATAGTTGGCGTCGATCCTCAAGACTCGCGCCTTCCATTGTGCATAGGTTGTGGGGCGCTCGTTGTCCCCATGCATAACCGTGTTTCGCACCGTTGGCCTTATCGCCGCTTCTACTGCTTCGAACATCTGCTTCTCGTCGCCGAATTCCTCGCACTTGTGAGCCAGCCGTTCGAACTTCGTGAAGAACTCGACTGCGGATTTGAAATCCGACTGTCGGATCTTCTTCCATTCTGACTTCCATATCGTTAACTCCGCCACCTCGCGGAACTCGCGCTTGAGGTCCTCGGAGAATTCCGCCCACGTGGGGAATCTCCAATGGCCCTGCGGGTCCCGGTACCGGTAGTATTGGTCGACCCACCATTGCTGCGCATCCCCTCGTAGGTATCCTTGAGCGAACGTGATGCGGTAGGGGTTGTGCCCCTGGTCGTTCATGCTGTAATACATCGGGAATACCGCGAAATAGACCTCGCAGTGGTGCAGGAAACGCGTGATGTCTGAAGAAACCCCGGTAAAGTACTCGGGCTGAGTTACTAACTTGGGTTTGACATCGTTCCATGGATTGTTAACGGCTCCCGGCGCGAGTTGCCAGGGAGGAATGGGATCGGGGGGAGATGGTACCTGCGGCGGTACTGGCGGCTTAGGTGGTCGCGATACCGACCGTAAGTTTCGATTTTCCCCCGGAGGAGGATATCCCGCGGGGCCCGGGTAGGATGGCTGCTTCGGTGGGAACGGGGGTACGGTAGACCCCTTTCCCTTATCGGTGCGGGACGGCCCAGCGCCTGGGTCGTCCATGTCGTCGTCGTCTTCTCCTGCGCCTCCAAAGAATCCTTCGGGAAAGAAACTCGACGAGTCCGTCGGATGAGGCATTGGCTGAGGCCGCCTGTAGGGTTCGCACCCTTGCTGGGGCACTCCTGGATTCACCAGGTTCCAGACGATGGCCGCCCGGTGCCAGGTTTCTACTTCAAGTATATTTTTCATCAGGTACACGTCACCCATACTCTTGGCGTGACGGTAATCCTCTCCTGCTTCGGAGAAGAGCCACTGCGGGTCTTTCTCCATATCTTCCATCATGATTTCGTATAATCCGTGCCATGGTAACAACTCAAATATGCCGGGTCTAGGCATTGGGCCCTGAAGAAGGACCTGCTTCACCGCCGCCATTACCGTCGGTTCGAGGGCTTGGTTCGGAGGCCGACTTGGCATCCTTTGCGTCCTTCCTCTCTCTGGCGAGTCGGTCGAGCTCCTTATTTCTCCTCCACCGGCCGATGTCGGAGTCCTCATTAGAGATCTCCTCCTGGTATACTCTCCAGGCTCGGGCTCGAGCCTCGAGGTCTGCTCCTGCTCTCCGGGCGTATCCGGTGTAGCGAACGGCAGCGGCTCGTATTCGGTTGTCGATTTCGGCGGGAGTGGCGTCGGGCTCAAGGGGAAGGTCCCAGAAGCCGTTTGGGCCGTAGAGGGCGTCTTCTTCTGCGCGTCTGATGCGTGCATCATGCGCTCGTCCTCGGTCCATTCCGGCCTGGACCTCTGGGGACTCCCGGGCATCTCGAGGGAGTCGGAGGGACTCGATGTACGTGTGGTAAAGAAGGGGCCACGGGCGCTGTGAGAGAGGGACGGGGTCGGCGAAGGCTCGCGACGAGACTGACGGTTCCCAACCGGAGACTCCGGCGAGGCGCTCGGCTGCGGTAATTGTCCCAAAGTCTTCAGCGTCGAGATCTGGGAACTCGCTCCAAAGCTCCCCACTCGTCGGCTCGATCGGGGCGACGGTGGAAGGGAGCGTGGGGGTCTCGGGCCTTTCAGGGATCGGGTCGGGCTTTCCTCTGGCCGCGATTCTGGCCACAGCAGTCTCTTCCCCGTCGTCGGCGTAGACCCAACTGGTGTGGGGGTGCCAGCCGACTGGAGGGCCTCTATTGGTTGGCCAGGCCCTTGGAAGAGACTGTGAGTGAGCTGAACTGGTGGAAGCTGCGGAGGCTCCGAGGCTAAGCTCTCCGGAGTCTGCGTCGTAGTCATCCTTTTGCCTCTGTATAAACCTCCTTCGCTCTGCTCCGAGGTCGGAATCGCCCCACTGGGCCTCGACCCACTTTGTGGACGACCTTCCGGACCAGTTGTCTCCGGTATAGGTTGCATCCTCCTCCGTGTTCGGGTAGATGTCGTCGAGGAGGTCGTCGAGGCGGGTTCTTTCCCACTCGGTGAGCTCGTCGCCTTCAAACTCGGTGTCAGGGCTTTCTTCGCCCGTGACCAGATGCCTGGTGTCTTGTCTTCGGCCTCTGTCGGGGCTTGACTCGCCTTCGACTGGAGACTGGTCGAAGAGGCCTGGTAGGGGCGAGTCTCCTCTGTCGAGGAGTATGCTCCTGGTATCGGTGATGTCGACGGAGTCGGTTGACTCGTCGGTGGCGCTTCTGTAGGAGTCGGTGCTCGACTCTGAGGATCGCGAGCTGGGTCGCGACGATCCGTAGAGGGACTCTCCATAAAGAGAGTGTAGCTCGAGCCGTGGAGTTTCGGGAACGGGTAGTGTCTGCTGTGAAGCCGCGGGGATGTCTATCACCTGCGGGGGGTATGCGGGTACGCTGGGCACGTAGTGGACGGGGAGCGGAGTTCGTGTCCTCCTCTCTCGTCGGCAACAGCAGAGTGTGTAATATAAAGAAATGGACAAGAAAAAGGCGATAAAAGTTACGAAGATTGCTGGAATGGCGTCGGACCAGGGCATCCGTATAGTGATCTATCCTTGGCGTAGGTCGACGATTGACCATGCAAGCTGGTATACCGCAAGGATGGTGAGAACGATCAAGAGCGCGATGATCAGGCTAAGGTCGGTCTCGTAGTTGGAACCGTTCATTAACGAGATTTCGCAGGTCTCGTCGGGAGGGGTGCTCGTTACTATTAACAGCAGAACTGTTAAAATAGAGGCGAGCTGAAGGGCGAGAATGAAGGGTTTCGTGTTGGGATACGTTGTTCCTAAACGAGGCGGGGATATAACGAGTACAGGGCGGCCAGCAAGCTTGCTAGCAACACTGCCGGTATTCCGAGCGCGATTAGGAGAAAGGTTAAGTATACAGTCAAAAAGACTGCAAGGAGTAGGTCGTCGTAGAGTATTGATTCAACAATCAACCGAGTTACTAACAACAGAAGGAGTAGCCGAGGGGGTATTAGCCACAAGGCTAGTGCGACGAGGTAGTGTATCGGATGAATGGTGAGTGCTTTTCCGTTGGTCCACTCGCTGTACGTTGACAAGCACCGGGTTGTCCACACGAACGTAGGCGATGACCTCTCTGGTCAAGCGGGGTAATTTCTTCAAAGAGTTGGGCAGCGCTCTTTCTCGGAAGTGACGCTGAGCAACGTAGAGCGAGCTTCGGCTAAATGTAAGCCACTAACTCTATCGACTTAGATGTGTTAGGGTCACTACTCGCACTTCGGTAGACGACGATCCAACAGATCAAAGGCAATGAAAGTCGATGGGACACTTAGACAGAAGAACGGAGTTCGATGTTAGGTAGAATAAACCTTAGCCGAAGCTGGGGTTTAGACCAGCTGAGGCTCTACTTAAATACACGTTGCGTAGGCTAAAGATAGTGCCGCAGCAACGTCCGATCGACATCGCAGCATAGAGTAAGCGTGAATACGTAAGAAAAGAAAAAGAAAAGGAAAAAGAAAAGAATAACCGTAACACCAGACGATTAGGCAATTCCGCTCGAGCTTCCACGGTTTACGCCGACGACCTACTCCCGGATTTCTCACTCGAACAATTTTCTACCGCGCTTTCCATGTTTCTCGTACATATGGACTAATGACGTACCAGAATACCTGCTTTGATACTCGCTCTACATTAGCCTGAGGTAGGTTAGGTTCTTAAAGATGTTTCTAGCAGCTGACTGATTATGCTGCATCCTACTAGAACCATGGAAAGTCAATTTACCTACGAGCACTTGTCCAACGACCCTACTGGCCTGTTACACAAGAGAAATGTTGCAGCTCGTGCGTCCCATCTTATTTCTTTTCAAAATTAATCTGATTGAATAGGAACACAGCTATCGGACCTTTCGATGGAAGGCTGGGTGCATTGGTTGAAAAAGGGTGGTTCATGGTGACCCCCAATGCATTAGGATTGTACCAGCCTTCTCTTGGTATCAACCGGGAGATGTACATGCGAGCAGACTTTAGATATGCCGCCGACGACCCTCTATTGTGGCCGCAGTTCTATGTACGCTCGGATCCATGGCTCAGCTGCATACGAAAGCGTCCCAAGGACCCACTTGACCCCTTCCTACCACTCTACAATCCTGTCGCTCGCTCTGATTTCAGTACATCTGGATCTGCATCACAGGACAGTCAACTCGGAAAGTTTTCGGACGCGTCCTTCATTTGTCTACGCGCGGCCGCTCAGAAAGTCATTGACATGTCCGAATCTCAGAGCTGGGGGTCGTCTGACTCATTGCTTAAGGATTTTCGTCGTGGACTGTGCACGCTCCTTCATTGCCTCGAGTCATTGCCGTTCATTTTCGATAGAATTCGTCTGGCAGTGGCGGAGACGCAGCGCGTAGCAATTGAAATGCGTGCTATCATGGACTATATCACAATTTACCGCCCACGTATGCTGGCAACCAATGTCCCTTCCTCTACCAAAAATATAGCCGATACGGAGCTCATCGGGGCCTTTACGACGGACCCTATTATCGTCGAAGAGTTTTTCAGAGCCAGAATTCCTGTATGGCTTCTGCTCAAGTTGGACCGACTCCCTTTCACACGAATCGATGCCTACACCTCCCCTTTAGAACCAAATCAATATCTTAATATTGAGTCTCCACGAATACGGCTTCGATCGGTCTTTATCGGGGCCTCTGACCAAGCTGAAAAGTACAAGGCATTTCGGCTCTTTACTCGAAATCACTTGAGATTGCCGAACCCTTTTGCGCTCGTCCCCGGCGAAGTTCGTTTGGACCCTCCTCTACCAGAGCCATTGTCATCAACACGTGGAAAACCATGTAAGTTGGGGTTCTTCATGCTTCATCCCTTTCTAAAGTTGGTTATAGATGATGTTTCTACTCAAAGAGCGAAACAAAAGCATCCGAGTCAATCTAACCAGACAAGATTCCTTTCAGTCATTGTTCACCCTCGTTTACCGCCTGCTATCCCGGTATGGCAGGCTGCGGTGGAGTCCACAAGCTCAGATCGTTCTCGATGTTACCCAGAAGCAAGGATTGCCGAAGCAAACGGATATATCTTTCCACGACCAGATATCTTCATTGGTGCACAGGACGAACACAAAGCTCTCGAACTCGTGAAAGCATGGCTATGCCTACGTCCTCTGCTACTGGCACGAGTTTCTTGTTCATCGTATTCAGCACAGCCGGTAGCTCATCAATCCTGGCGCATTATTCTAAACTTGGACCATTTGATGAAGAATGCAAGATCAGATGGCGCCAGCTCATCCAGAAGCACACCGACGAAAGCCGAGAGACGTAGAGAACAAGCCGTCGCTTTTTTGCAAGGTTGCGCGGGCGAGCTGCAGATTGATACTAAATTCAATGTTGGTCCTGCAGTTTGGAGAGGCATAGAGCTCGAGATGTTAACAAATGATCATCATCGGGAAATCGCCTGGGAGCTTGCAGAACTCAACTTCAGGTTCGAGTTGCTAGCATTGGATGCACGAGCAGCGACTAACGGAGGAAACCACGATTTTACTCCTGCACTGTCTACCCAACGGCCTTACCATGGCATTTGTCGCAGTCAACGTCGGCAGTGCTAATCATGGGCTAGGACATCCGACTTGGCGGCAGAGAGCTCCATACGTGTTTCCATTGATGATGAATGTGATGCGCTCTTGGAAGGCTTGCCTGCATTTGATCCAACAGAAGAGGACCAATTATATGGAAGCCACAATTTGATGAGATCGAAAAATGTGTTGCTCTTTTCTATGTGGAGTCGTTCTTTCGCTTCTTCGGTCGTGCACCAGTCATTCCGCGTCATCTCCCCCATTCTCCGCAGACTTTCGTTTGTGCCCGAGACATGTGAGGAAATGTATACAGAAAGATCGGGTCTTGTGTTTGATATTGCGCAGTTCCATGAGCAGTAATACCTTTTGAAGCTGGAGTATAACTTGTTGAGTTAGGTGCGTTCTCTGGTGTCCTTTCGCATTATCCTCTCACTGTTAAAAGTTTTTATAGTATAGTATCCGTTTATATGTTTTCAGCTATGCCGTACTACAATGTCTATTTCCTTCAATCACGGCCACCAGTATACTTGAGGGATTTCATCCTGAGAAACATATCGCTGTCAATGCTATCAACAATCAAATACTCCTTGAATCCATCGCCTGGCTTGGCCCCAAAATCTTCAACCAAGAGCGCCCCTCGAATAATCATGTAGACGGATACAAATACTGATTTTTCTTTCTTTCGTGCACGGACTCGATAAAAGCCAAGGTCCTTGTCTAGCTTTGCAGTTGTTGTGCCTACGGGTTCATCGAGAGGACGGACAAGGGCGAGAGGAAACGTTTTTCCTGCAATAACACAAGTGAAGACCATTATAAGCTGCGCGAAGAATGGACGCTCGGTGCTGTCAATGAGGAGGGAAATCGTATCGTGGATGATTATAGAAATCAGGGCTGCATCGCAAATAGTCGGTGGATGTGGTCCAATCAACGTGTTTGTTTTCATAATTGACTTTCAAAAGGCCGTATAGCTGAATCTGTAAGTGGTATATCAATCATGAAAATAAAGCTCTAACAACCACATATTGCTTACCTCTTCGTGTTGCTTGAATGTCTTGAATACTACCTTTCTCCATCGACTTCAGGGACAATATCAGGGTATTTCGCAAACTGTCCCACCATGAAGGATGATAGACGTGTTTGAAAACCCTTGAACGCCGGGTCGCCTGCCTTCAAAGCCCTGATTTCTCCGATTTTGAAGACCCCACCCCCTTTACCACGGTGCCCATGTAAAGTCACTTTCCCGGAGTATTTGGAAGCTGATTTATCCTGATCTTTTAGCTCGGAGTCGTCGTTTTCGGACATCTGCAGTTGCTCATCGTGTAAGTCGATTTGCTGTCGTATAAATGATGCAGCATTACACCACGAATCGACACGTAGAATCTAAATCAAGATAGGTTCAGTTGCTATATTGGTACCTGCTGAAATCGGAAGTACCTGCTCCGCTACATCTTTGAAGTTGGTTCACAACTGATATGCGTCTTTTAGAGGGCCATGCATTTTCTCGTTGGGCTTCGTATTGTAGTTCAGCGTGACACCCTTTTGCAAGATATCGTCAACGACATGCTGGTGAGAGTGGACTTTGGGGAAGTTCCATGATTTCGCGCCCGGATTAATCGACCGTGTGAGTTGTTCGTACTCCTACATTTGATCAGCCTGTCATTCATGAATATTAGGAGATGACCCACCCTTATGAGTGCTGAAAACCTGAGAAGCTCATTCTGAATGGCTTGTATGCTACGCTCAGTATGGAGGTTGAAGCCCGTGTACATATGAAGCTCTATATAGCTTCGGACACATTTCAGCAAATGATATCCATGCTTGTCCTTGGTCTCAGTGAGGAGATTATGGGTGACAAAAAGGATGTGCTAAACGTAAAATCATTGTTTGCTTGCCATGACTTGAAAGCTGGACCTTGGACTTACTTTAGACAGATCTTCATACTTTCCGCCATCAGCGAAATGGACCGCCATAAAACCGCTTTCAAAGTGATATAGATTCCTCCAGCGTGGAAAGCGTTTAATTCTATATCAAGGAAAATCAGAATGTACATAAAACATGAGAACAGGAAACACTTACTGATCGTCTGCCTGACCTATAGATTCCACGCCTAAGGCTTCAATCCGGGAAACGATTTCACGTCTGAGATGTTCTCCGAAAAGGCCATTATCATAAGCATGAAGACGATCAAAGGAAAGTGTGCGGAACGGATCGCCAGTCTTTGATGTCCCAAAAGGCATTCTATTCAAGTTGGTCAGTTCAAAGAAGACAACGCAAACTAAAGATTCGGTGACCTCAATATTTCTCAAGCCAAAGCTAGACAGAAACTTGTTCCGAGCGTCCTTCCTTGGAATGGCAGCAGCATCTGCAAGTATTTCTTGAGTTTGCTTTGATGTCCGTAGCTCGTATTTGATATCTAGACAATACTGTTCTGCCTTAGGTACCATACAGACGACGCATGGTTTCAGACCACCGGAACCTCGAATAAGGACAACAAAATTCCTATTATCACATACTATTTGGTGAGCTCGCGCTGTGATAAAATGAGACTGATGACTGACGCCTCTTCATAATCACAGCTTTTGATTGGCAATCGGGGAAAAACCTGGAGATCTACGTTCGCTAAGGCAAGATGAACCCAACCTCCTACTTTGCTTGGTGCAACTAGCGGTTCGAGGATAAATCTGAAGGCAGCATGCCACACGCGGCGCTTGAAGTCTACATAATAAACCTTCCTCTTGAACTTTGCTTCCTCCTTTATCTAAGTATAGATGATTCAGTCCAAGTATTAGAAAAATCAGATCACTGGAAGACACGGACCAATGGTAGCCACCCAACGACACGTCCACCGCCAACACCATTCCCATTTCGTATGTCAATCTTCAGATTTCCACAATGGGCAATGACAGGATAACCTTGAGCTGTACCGAAAGAAGAAAGACGTGTTTTATCAGCATATATAATGTAACAAAGAACTTTTGCGCCTTTTGGGAGCGCTGTCTGTAGCGAACAAATGCGTAAGTTGTATGATTCTCGAGAGAAGCTCTACTAAAGCACACCTGTAGATCCCAAAAAGCTTGCGCTGTCCACGGTTCATCGATGAACCGCTCGAAAGCCTGTCCATTCCACTTTGAAAGCTGAACAGCATCCCAAACAAAGTGTGGCTCCAGAAGTGGATCCTGAATCAAATCCAATGCCCAGGTCCAGAGATCTCGCCGGTAAACATCAAAGGTATAGTCTTTACCCCGGAGTGGTACAGTAACCGTCGACTTCTCAAACTGAAAAAACCTTGTCAGATATTATATTCTTAATATCGCAAGAACATGACAACTCACTGGTGTAATCAAATTGGCTGCACGATCCCAATGATCTTTGAACTCCTTCAGGCTACGGATGCTGGATTTAATGCCTTGGTTGCTTTCTGCCTCCGGGTTCAGTAGTCTGAACATAGTCTTCATCTGCTTCTCAGTAAGAGCCGCATCAAGAATGAATTCAGCAAGCTTAAAGTCATAACGTGATGCAAATGGTCGCCATGGATGTGGGTCAATAGGCGGTTCCGCATGTTGGAATGCAGGACGCGAGCGATAGTCATCAAAATGATCGATCCGTGTTAGTCGCCCACTGGACGGGTGGTAGATCGTTCGCATGTCGTCAAGTTTGTATTCAGATGTGCCATGAACACGTTCTTCCTGAGCTTCAAGTGGAAAGGTAACTGTGAAGTCATTCGGAACATGGTTTATTATTGCTTCAGACAAGAATTAGCAGGGTGAAACAGGAGGTGATCATGCAGGGATGACTTACGCTCTTGATGTTCTTGATTTTCCGACAGATGGTTATCAATAAAAACGGCGATATCTTCCCCTGAGGGTACGGTAACGACCGTTTCCGCTAAACCTACATGCAACGTTGTCAGAATGCAAATGGGGCAATGAAATGCGTAGCGGTAACCTGCTTACCTGTTCTGAACAATTGCTGCTCATAAAGCATATCAGCCTGCTCCTCATCAAGCTTTCGCTTGCAAGAGGTCTCGTGTTTCTTCAAACCACGGAGCGCAAATGAACGGAGACAGTATTGGCATTGCTCCTGACGAGCGGGCAGCATTGGATATCTGATATGAAGACAATGAAGTTTATGGTTGGGGATCTGGTGTTCATAACTGGAAATTTCACTGGGTTTTATATTGCCTAGCATACTGCATTCCTACAGTGGCTCGACTCCAGCATACATTTTTGGCGGCAGACGGCCGTTGCCCAGCAAATTGTCAAGTATCCCCATTAACTTTCTTGGGGATATCTACAGCATAGGAAGTCTTAGGAGTTCTAAAATACTTGCTAACTCTTATATTAGGGATTCGCAGTGCGGACAGCACTATCCGTTGTCGAACTGTGACTTTGCGATTCTAGCGCTTTTCGGACTTGATTCGGACCGGTGCGGATGAGATTATCTTATCTAGGTTATTAAGATCACTGGGCCTAATATACACTACGTTATGATTTCGGGCCGGATTATATTTCAAATACCCTAATTAGGTCCTGACACAATCTCCGACATACCCAATCTTCCCCAGTGCTACTAGGATCAGCTGAGTTACTCGCAAATATCTTCCCTAACTCTGGCATACGAAATAAACCATGATCACACTTCCTTTTAACGTTAATTCTCGAGGAACCTCTCAACCTAACCACCTAAGATCAGAGACACTGCTTTAGAAGCGCGCAGTCTCTTTATTGCTGGCCTCCCCGCAAAAGCATTCGCCGAAGAGTACTTAGTACTGCTTGTCGAAGATCGATACTACAAGAGTGAATAGTCGTTCAATGATAATACATGCTTGTAGCTACGACGGGTGACTCGAAGTCAGAGCTGTACAATCGGTATGTATCACGAGTTCATGCTTTTCATGGGCTGACCGATCAGTCGTACACAGATCACCCTTCCCGCCAGAACTGCCCAACCCAAGCCCAAGTACCAGCAACAATCCCCCGGTTCGGGATGTCCTTTTACCTACACCTGAGCGGCCTCACAGTCCGTATCGGAGTACACGACGTGGAGAATGTGCCACGATTTTACATAGATCGTGCTGTTACAGGTCGGGCTGAAATCACGCAAGAGTTATGATTCCTTTCTTTATTGCTGGACGACGTGGAGTCCGCGGGGTTGAAGAATGACGAAGAACAGTAGCAGAAGAGGAGGTAGATGAAGCTAACATTGGTCCCAGAAGGATACAAGGATGATGAAATAGAAATTGACGAAAAGGTTGAACCTAGATATCCATCCGAAAATAATTTCGTCGAGGGACGCAAGATGCGGGGCAAATATTCAGTTACACTGTCACGGTTATGGTACTCCGATACCTCCCCTCAACTCTTTAGGATTCTCAGATGTAGACGTTTTGAATGCTTTACACGCTGGGATCAATTCTGTCAGCAGGGGATTTGACTATTCCGAAGATACAAGCGTTTCGCAGAGTAGTCGCACAGCAAACGGAGTAATGACCTATCGTCTCTCCCATGGGAGCCGGCTACTCCGGCACCACATTTGCTTTGCGAGAGGTTTAACCTGTATGTTATGGGGATATGGTAAGGGCCGTAAGGCTGTGCCGGGGAAAATATTAGGAGAGAGAAAGACGTTAAGGAGATCCTTTTTCATTTCAACAATCACGTTCGATATTGAACCTGGCACTCGGCCATTGCGCCCATAAAAATTTCACTAGGTGATTTAGAAGCAAATTAAGGATGAGGTTCAGAGACGTCGTAGTTAGAACTGGAAGATTTACAAGCACGTTTTGAAGTATTATTATAGAATGCCTGCGTTTGCGGTCTACGGTTTCCATCAGTTGTTAAGAGATTGGGCGGACGATTTATTTTCCGATATTAAATAAAGTACACCTACCGCAGAGGAAGCATTCAAGGTTTGTAAGTACCGGGTAACGCAGAAAACCATTGTGTTGGTCATTATTGGAAGAAACAGGAGAAGCATAGCAGTGCTACCTGGCATTTTGATCCATCGCGTGCTGGTGCCAACAGTACCGTGACCCAAAGCGGGAACTATGACTGATGCTACAATCAAGCTGTAACTCGGAAGGTTCTCTGATTCGGCTAGCTGTTTCGAAAACCGAGATCTACTTATCCAACTGGTTCAACTCACCATCGATGCTTTAGACGGATTGGTCATTCATTGATGAATTGTCAGTACTCCTAAATCCTTTGAACAAACAAAGACTCATCTTCGGCGATTCCGGCGTCTAGCGAAATGCTGATACCATACCGGGCACGCACGGTGTCTACTCCTTAATAGAAGAAATAAATCACTGATCGGACAGTGGTTCAATCAGATTCATTTCTATACGGATCCTACAATCTTTTGAATCTTCTTGATCTGATGCCTAGAGTTCCGGTTGGATGATTTCGTCAATAGCGGTGCTCCTTTGGGAATGCTGTAGGAGTGGTTGGGCATCGTCAGAGCCGGTCCAGACCTTTGATAATCGAGAAACTCCATGCAGAAGGAAGAAATCTCTGGGAAGAGTTGTCTCCCTCGAAGAGAAAAGATGTTATTTTCGGAGCTAAACAGCGGCTGCAAGGACCACCTATCACTTTTGCAACTGCTGTAAAGCATATTCATGTATTCCGTTCATAGATGCTCCAACCCCTTCCTCTGGATATTCTACCTTTGTTACACGAACCAAACCGGCTTATTGCGAAGATTGATGAAGATCCGAGGTTCGAAGAAGGGGGGGTCGCGGACCGCCGCAAGACCTCATACCTTATACGTATACTTCTACATTTCTTGTGTAAGTCTTGTCCATCCTACTTCAACACATTGGGCGTATGTTGATTGGATCAACCGTTACGACGGCTGGCGGTACAGGAAAGGTCGAAATTGAACACTTTATAGCTTTGCTACTCGCTATCGCCTTAACTCCCATCATCTGCATCAGGAGTGTGTCTTCGGAAACTAGCAGTCTTTAGTCGATGGAGCACAGACGGTCTTCATTGATTCGCTGACAAAGAAGGGATTCGATTGATAGCACGAAATTTGGTAAAGGAAACGGGGACCTACTATTTGTATAAGTAGTTCTGTTATACCGAAGCAGTCCGTTCACCGGACGCAAACAGTTCTCCAAACTTCTACACGAACCCACTAGCGGAAACACGTTACACACGCCATGGCAGACTTCCCGGTGTCATCTTACGGTTTCTTTCGTCTTCTAGTAAACTCGCGGAGCTCCCTCCAGAGTGAATGTACCGTACCATTCGTGAACTAACTGGTATGGTATTCTGGCGCTCCCCTCATTTCGTAAAAATAGAGGCTTAGAATTAGATTCAGCGAACGATAAAAATAGCACAGCCTTGAGAAGCAAAATCACAGATGGTCTGTGCAGTGCACCCGATAGTTACCATCAAAGGTATAATAAGTGTCGTCGCCTCCATATTGAGAAGATTGGCAGACATACATGATATGAGACGCGGGTTACAGATGTTGGAAAATGTCGTGTTGAGACACAGCATGGGATAAGATGCTTTGCACGCCATAGGTGGAAGTGCGCCTGATACGTGACAATGTCAATCACTCGAACTGACAAGAAGATGACTCGAAATCAAAAGCACTCTGATTAGAAAGACAACACCTGAAACAACCATAGGAATACATACAGATATAGACCGCGGTTCATATCGCTCTACAAAGACCGAACAGGTGATGGTCCCGACAAAGCCTTTAGCGACGGGTAGCATTGTAAACAACTGGGCACATAGTCCTTCGTATTCAAGTCCATTAACGACAGCTGGTGCAAAATACGAGATACACGAAAATAGTACGCAGACGGTGATGAAGACGAGATAATGGAGGCACATCCTCCAGTCTATCAGCGTATTCTTGGTCTGCGCCCATGTAATTATGGTGGCACACAGACGCTTTGCCTCTGAGGCGCTTGACGGCGAGTTCTCGTTCCTTCGTAAATAGTGATGTCACTGTCTCTGGGTAGACTGGAAAGAAGAAGCACGTTGCCACCGCCCGAGCACATGATGGCGCATCCCCGATGATGAATAACCACCGCCACGCTTTCAAGCCTTTGGGGCTGTTGATGAGACCAACGCCGTACCTTCTTGGGGTTGATACCAGCTGTTGAAACGGTCGGTCAGAAAATAATGTTGTGTATCTCCAAAATAGAACTGACATGGTAAGGAAAGAAGCAGATTATTCCTGGATAGAAACCTATGACGGTAATTAGGCATTTGCGTTCTACTGAAAACGTGTGACATACCCGCTTTAAACATCCCTAGAAGGCAGTGAAGTCCCGTCAGCGCGCTATAGCTCTTGAACATAAAATGATCATATCCGTTCCGCCCTTCCTGAATATGAGCAACACGAACCAATGCAGGAGAGTAAAATGACTGAGGTCTCAAACGGTGCACAAATAATGAAGAACTACTGTCAACGCAGCGGAGAACTGGCCGCTTGTTGAAGACCTGCAACAATGAGTCACCGCTGTCGGTATTCAATTTTTCGCATTTTTCTGACGGACAATTTAATTAAGAAAGCGATCAAGCATCATCAGATCGGCGTACGATATTAACGCGGGCGAGGAAATTGAGGATGTAAATGAACATGCAACTACGTACGATCCGGAGATTTAGCTGTCGGAGGAGTCTGGCAGGGAAGTGAACCAGCATCGGCTTGTCGTCGTGGTTCGATAGGAATGGTAAACATACCTCTTCTCAGCGAAACGGTCCACAGCGATGACATCTTCGGGTGATGAAATTCCCTCATCACTTGAAAGGCCCTTCTCGAAGTCATTGTCAGCGGATGAGAAGGGAGCAATAGCTGTCTCTTCCATTTCCCGAAGGGCTTTCAAGTTTAGGATTGCTAGCGTTCATCGATACTTCTGGTTGGCAAGGGAAAGACACGTTCCCTTCCTGATGCAGGGAAGATGGGAGTACTGGTCCACTGGCAACCATCCTTTGCAATATGAAGGTGATGTTTATGATGTTGGAAGCTCGAACGGAAGCAAGAGGCCGGCGCAGAGTACATTTTCCCGCAGTGAGGCTGTGGACTTCCATGTCAGTATAGGACCTTACGAATACGATTATTGCCGCAGCCTCACC